GTACAGTATCTCTGGTTTCTCTGGCTGTATTGTCTTATGAGCGTTACTGCACCATGCTCAGGAGCACAGAAGCAGACGTGACAAACTATAGGAACGCTTGGTTGGGAATTTTAGTTTCTTGGGTATACTCCCTTTTTTGGACTCTACCGCCACTTTTCGGGTGGAGCAACTATGGCCCAGAAGGACCGGGTACCACATGCTCAGTGAACTGGCACTCCCGTGATGCCACAAACACATCTTATATTGTGTGTTTATTCATATTCTGCTTGGCGTTGCCTTTCATCATCATTGTATACTGCTATGGAAGACTGTTGCTTGCCATCAAACAGGTAAGGAAAACTTTGTATTGTCAGTGTTGTGGAAAAAAGCAGTGTCATATTTGAACCAAGATCCAGTCCAAGGACATAAAATTTAGGACCTTATTTATTTATATTATCCCTCTACACAACACTAAGTTAGTAGGTCTTCCAACATGTTAGTAAGTCTTCCCTTCCTAAACTGGTGTCCCCATTGGAAGATTTCCCCTACTACTTGCTTTGGGGACAGTGCTAAGATTTTGGATTTCCACTCCCTTTTTTTCTTAGTGACAATGACAGCACCAACAGAGTGGTGAATTGCCCCAATGGAGACACAGTGGGTCTAACTCTTCCTCACTCTATCCGAAAAATTTTTTTCTAGAAAAAGACTTTATGCAAAAATTTGTCTAAATTTGACAGCGGGTCTAACTCTTCCTCACTCTATCCCCAAAATTTTTTTTCTAGAAAAACAGTGTATGCAAAAAATAAAAAAAATTGTATTTTTAGGTATGCAAGTTTAATATCAGATCACCTTTACTGTCATACACCTAGCTACTGGCATGATCACTACATGGTAAAGCCAATCATCTTTCTAGGTGGATGGATAAAGTTTAAGATATTGCAGATCCCAGTAGAGGAATGTCAGGCCGCTCGTACACTATACCCATTCTTTAAGAGTTTTCTTATGTTATACACCCACAGACCCAGGAAACAAGTGCAAAGGTTCCCAGTGCTTGAAAGAAACAGAAGCACTGTGGGTGCAATGTATTCATATCTTGGAATTGATGATTATGTTGTCCTCACACTGGAGTTGCAGAAAGATCATGAAATGATATGAATCCTTTTACTTTCAGTTCTTTATTGCTATTCTTATAAAAGATTTCTAAAATGCATCATAAAAAGTCAATTTGCAACCATATCCGCATGCTTTTTCCATGAGGAAACTGTAGTGCTATTGATGTGCATTCCATATCATTTTTAAACTCTCATGCTACTTCATACTGAATCTTATACAGTCCTGTTATACCTAAAATATACCATTATTGGTTGACCATGAGTTTTGTAGGAACAAGCAGCTTATAACTCTCATATTGATATGTGTGATCAAATAAAGGCATGTCATTCACTGTCAGGTTGGCCAGTAAATCTTACCAGCAAATGTTATTTTCAACAGTCTACTACTGTTTTCTTTCTGCATGATAGAGCTCAGACCCCTGAGGCAGCCTAGTACAATAAATCAGTTCCATGATGGTGAATATGTATCTGTACCATTTTTTTTCTTTCAGAAATATGTTGTTGAGCTTCAATCTCATTTAGGCCTGTGGAAATTTAGGCTTCCTCTGTCTCACTCTATTGCGCAAGATCAAAAGATAAGAACACATTGTATATTGTTCACAAAATAAGTCAGTGCATTTTATAAATATTCTTGGCTTTGCTGTTAGTGAATATGTAATTCACTTCATGGTCTTCTTTCCCTTTGCTCATACTAGAACTAAATTGCTTCTTTTTATGCAATCTGTTGACCACACGCTTCAAGTATTACTAAACCAAGGACCCTGCATTCACTATATCTGGTCTCCCACAGTACCCAGAACATGGAAATGCAACTATTTTAGTAAATATAAACTGCTAAATACCTTTTCTCATCAGCCGTTACAGCAGTCTTGTGACTTCTATCAGTGTCCAGCAAGACCACTGGTTAAAGTTTGTAGGAGGAGTTTTCATTTTGCTCTAGGAGGATGCAGAACCCCTGACCTCTGTCTGGACAGTGCTGATTGGCCCTGTGCTGATCACATGCACTCTCCCAAGAAAAAAAAAACTCTCTAGCAATACACACCAAACTAAGCATGTGCAGAGTGACTCCACACAATACGTCTTATTAGGAGATAAGAGGAGGACACTGGAAGAAGGGGAGGATCAGAGAAGTCAGGAGCAAACAGCGTTTTTATACAATGTGGAGGATTAACCCCTTAGGTTCCATAGTGAGTATACCAAGCATGCTTTACTACATATATAGACTGATTTTACTGTTGTGGGTTCAGTAACACTTTCATCTTCAAGGTTGCTCAGTGGCTACATTGTTACATTGTTCTTCAATTGCTGTTTTTGAGTGTAAACAGCTTTATTTTAGATAGAATTTGTAACTTACTGTATTTTGAATGTGGGCCTTGTACTTAATCTAATGACTCACTTACGCAATATCCAATGGTCCAACGGTCCAATGGTTTTGCACAGAGCAGCACCAATCCTCTTTCTCTCGGGTCCCCCTCCAGCACTCCTGCCTCCTCCTCTTCTTGGTGTGCCACCAGAGAATGCCACTTCCTATTCATTAATTTGTTATTTGAACTTTCAGAATATAAGACCACCCATACTTAGAAATGTGGCAGATTCAACCATCCAATCGCTTCTTACAATTTTCTGGACTCCCTCTGGATATCCTAGTTCTACCCCCATCCAGAATTAGCTGAATGACACCCACAATCTCAGTGTAGTCTGTGCTTTGTATAAATGTTAGATAGAGCACTGGTGCCCATTGAAGGGTGCCAAGTGGTAATGTTGGACATATTTCAAGAGCTGCTGTGCAGATGCTTAAATAATAAGAGTTTGTAGGATACAATTGGGACATACTGACAATCACTGTCAATTTGTTAAAAACTAAAAATGAATGTATGTGTATATATATATATATATATATATATATATATATATATATATATATATATATAAATTGGTATATATGATTTTACTAACTAAATGTTACCGAAGCTTTTTTCAGAACATAACCTGCCGCAAAGAACCAATAATGTTTTTCTTTGTCAAAGAAATGTAATAACTGCCCTTGATGCTGCTAAGTTTTTTTTCATAGAATACATAAAATGACCAGTTAATTTTTAATATCATACTATCCTCTGTCTCACCGCATTAAAGGTATATTCCAGTTAAAAACTATGAAACTTTTATATGGGACTGTAGGCAGTATTCTTTATTCTATAACAATAACAAACCACAACTCTTTTTGTTTGGTGCTAACTTGGCCACGGCCGTTTTATTATTGGTGTAAATATCATTCTTTATAATAACTCTTTATTTTTACATATTAGCTTACTAATAATGGTAAAACATTTTTATTTAAATTAATATTACTCAAAAACCCCAACTCAGTCACTACGACTCAAGCTGTACTTATTAACACGACACTTATCAACCGTATTTATTAAGCATACAGCTTTTTGCAAATAACATACTTACGTAATCTACCATAATTTAATATGATACTTACCAATAATAATTGGCAGCAACGAAAAAAGGGGCGGGTGGGAGGGGAGCACCACAGAGATGCCTCCCAGGTTTCAGTTTTTTTTCCGTTAACGGACCCCCCTTTTATAGCCCTCTCCTCTCTCCAATTATTCTCCCTATTGGTCACTTTTTCTTCCAGGAATGTCCATGTGTAGTGGAGGGCTAAACTCCCATTTTCTAGAATCTTCCCCATTATATTAGTATACCATGGGGGGCTTAAAACTGTCCAGGTATAGTGGGGGGCTAAAAAACCCTATTTTCTAGAAGCTTCCCCAAAATATTAGTATACCATGGGGGAACTTGAAACTTTAATGTTTTTTCCTCCTCCTCACACCAATGGGGGGGGGGGGCTAAAAAACCCTACTGACCTTCTAGAATATTCCCCCACTGTATAAATACGGTGGGGGGACTTGAAACTTTATTTCCCCTGCCACAGTCCCATAAGAAAAGGGTGGCCCCTATTAAATCCCCCTTTTCTTTTCCTATTCCAGAAATTCATCTAATATGGGCTACTTCCTGAACAGCTGTATAAGTCCCCTGGCATTCAGTCCTTAGCAGATAGTTACCCCCATCACTAAACCATTATGGTTGTTTTTATCCTTCCTGAATGACCCTGAATCAAAGCCTGCATTTTGCAGATTCAAATTGTTCTCAGGTTTCCAAAACATCTCTCTGTAGTTTTCAGAGAAAAGGAGATTGCACAGCATGAAATAATGTTGGCAAACCTGACAAGATACTCTGAATATTCTGCTGAATCTGGCCATGACGTATAATTATGATATTATAAAATCAGGCTAAAAGTAAATAGAGCGGACTTTATGTCTGTGGCACAGTTGCCATGTTCCCTGGATAGCATTATTTGTTTGATAATTTTACGTTTTGGCTGATGTTGGCCTTTAAACGCGAGCAGAACATATCAATTTAGTTTTGCTAGGTATAACTGAGACTTTTTTTGTGCTAGTGTTTTTCAATAGATATCTGTTATTTACAGCAAAGCGTGAAAAGACTGCAATAGCAAATAGAAAAATATTAAACATTCCAAATACTACCTAAATATATACTGTACATATGTTCATCAGTAATATCATTCTAACTAGAACCTTTCTAAAGTAATTCCACACAATACTTCAGTTTGTTTACAACCAATATACAGTCACATGGTAGGATTTTCCTGTTCTGTACACCTCTTGCTCTCATTTTCTAGTAATAAGCCCGATTGTTTATTACTGTGCTTCTAACAACAGTTTAAATGGATTGTATATCATTTCTGTACATAGTTTCTTTATATTGTATGATGTACAGGGCCAAAAAATGTAATTAAAAAAATGTTTTTTACTGGGTGTTGTCTCTCCAATCTAAGCATTGATAGTGTGATCTCTCTAACTTACAGTTGGAATGAGATAGCGATAACTTCAACCTCAGTTGGATACCACAGTCAGTGACTCAATCAATAAGACATCTTGTAGATCTTGTGAAGTTTATTCCATAAACTGAGAGAATCTTACAACAATGAACATTCGATAGGTCAAAAGATTATAATGTTTCCTGCTCCATGACATGAGGCTAGAGCTGCAATGCATCTCTGGGAAAGGGGGAGGGCTAACTATACA